AATTTTTAAGGGTAATGTCTTCAACTAGATACAATTTGTGATCTTTTGACGTATTGTTAAAAGAAATCGGTCCAGTGAGAGCTGAGAAAAAGTAGTGACAGACACAAAAAAAAAAAATAATAAAAAAAATAAACACATCATGGTAAAATTAATACCTTCTCAGCTTCGCATCGAAGCTAAAACAAAGTTGACACCCTTACCAGACATAAGGGATGAACTTAAAAAGTATTACATAGTTAATAATTCAAGAATAATGTGTAACTAAAGATAATAATAAAAAATTTTTTTTTTTAATTATTATTATTCTGCTGTAAGTAATTGAGTGGGTTATGATAAAAAAATCACCTTGTATATTAGTAATAAGTAAAAGTAAGAGTTTATAATTATTTAAAGTGGCTTATCACAATTTTTGTATTTAAATAGTGACAGTATAACTATGTTAACTTTAGGTACAATATAACAGTAGCAATAAATCGAAACTCAATAGATTTTCACATTTGTTATTTCTTTTTTTATATAGTAGATATATAAATAAATAAAAACTATGAAAATATTGAAGTTTTATTATTTAACAAATATTTTAGCTTTGTTGCAAATCTGATGAGGTATTTTATGAATGTGTGCACTTATCTTTCACTATTTTAATAAATTGAAAATTAGAGAGCTCGTTAGAATCGAGGAATTAAGAATTACTAAAATATTAATAAAGAATTAAAAATCTAGATTGAAAACATTGTTTTTGTAGATAATAACTTAAGTTTAAGTTGAAATAAAATTAATTTTTTTCTATATTGGAATCAAAATTTTGAAAAAACGCTTACTTCAATTTGTCTTATAACCATTAATACTTAACTGCAGTTAGAATTTCATAGTAAAAATTTCAATAAACAAAATTTTTTCTAGTTTATTTTAATTAACTACAATAAAAAATATGTATGTTTGCAAAATTGAGAAAAAGAAAATCCAATTATATAATGATTCCTTTTAAGACTTTCTAAAAATCTAATGTTTTACCTCTGTTTTTCTCATTAATTTCTGCATTACAAGATGCCTAGCACTCTGTCCTTTAATTGACATGTTTTCTTGTTGTTGAAGAGTTTGTGGTTCTGTCTCTTCAAGTAATTTTTTTTGTAATTCCTCTTGTTTTTTTTGCTGATCAGCACGTTTTTGTGCATCTACTGTTATACTTGACACTAGTGGAGCAGCTAATTGTGTAGGATTCACAATTGTTGGAGGAGGAATGGAATGTTGCATAACTGGACTTAATCCAGTATTCACTATATAAAATAAAAATATTGTTTTAATGATTAAATATTAAATTTAAGAGTATCACAGTCGATAGATCTACAAGGTAAGTCAAAATACAGAATAAACAAAAATCCACTGCTACTATACTTATTATACTTTATATAACTTTTGATGGGATTTTAAGCATATGTAGTAATTTAGAGAGTAATTTAACTGCAGATTTTTTTAATTTTTTTTTTATCCAAAACTGAAAAATTAGACCTCAAATGAAAATTCTACAATAATCCCTAATTATTACATCCTTAAATGTAAAAATAATTAATATTAAGAAATTTCACACATTTTTCAAATAAGTCAGAAAAAAAGGTCAAAGATTAATTTTAGGAAAATTCAAGTAAAAATTACTTTTACACAATAGAGAACAGTACAATAAAAATTTAAAGAGTTAAAAAAGGTGTCCTTTAACTAGGCTGACCTCAAACTAAATTTTGTTATATTAATTTTTATTAATAATAATTATCATTATTGAATTTAAATCAGATAGATGTGTTATTATTAAATAAGTTTAAGGATGAAATGAATTTTAATATCTTAGAATAACCTATATAAAATAGTATTCTTTTTAAGAATATGAAATCAATGACACCAAAATGATATAGAAAAAAAGTCACATACAAATTTGTTTTAAAATCAGTAACAACATAAAATATATTTGTTCTTTAAAGGTAGAAAAATGTCACTGAAATTGATGTAATATTTAAAGATATTTTTTTGAAAATTTTATATTTTAATGTTATTTTTATTGAAATGTTTTTCTTAAATTATCAGTCATGAAATACTCTTATGTTAATTCCTTATACCTTATTAGGGTATCATTTTATATATATCAACGGAACCAAATAATCAGCTTATTTATTAGATAATAATCTAATTAAGCAAATTATGGGTGAATAAGTTAACAAATTTTGGATCACAAATTCAGAATTTATTAACAATTTTAGGTAAAGAGTGAGTGCTGCTATTTTTATAACTAGACATTATTTTCCTCATTCCTACCGATTATGTATGCTAATTATGTGTTGAATTTTTTAATAGTGCATACAATTTTTTTTTAATTCACCTAAACAGTGATACAAAGTAAAAAATTGTTTAATATGTAAAATAAAAAAGTTAAATATCTCTATAATAGTTTTGATATGTAGTAGTCAATGATTGTCAAAGCTTTAATTTGTAAGTAAAAAAAAATATGAATAATAATCAGTATTAGGTTTTTCTAAATTAAGAAATCTACCTAATACAACTTTAATTTAACTAGTGACCCATAATGGATACATAGGTTAACCCTATTTTATTAACAAAGAAGTTTAATACCAAAATTATATTATTTTCTCCTATAAATTACCTGGTATAATTGGTACTGGAGCTCTTATTTGTTGAGGAATAGCTATTCCTGGGGGTGGTATATTAGCAGCGGGTAGAGTAGGAGTTATACCCAAAGTTGTTGGCAATTGTTGCAATCCTGGTAAAACAGTAGATTGAGCTCCTAGTTGAGAACTCAATTTGCTTAAACCTAACACAGCATTTGTAGCAACAGCATCCATAGCTTGTATTTTTGCTGTGGCTGCTGCGGCTGCTACTGCAGCAGCTGTAGGCATGTGACTTGATGAAGAAGGACCCTATATTAGAGAACAGAATAATATTGTATTATAATGAAACAAATAAAATATGAAATAGTAAAAGTACATTAATTTGTAACATACATGAAGTGCATTTGGAGGAGTTATAGCACGGCCAACTCTTAGATATTGACCACCTAAATCAAAAAGGTTCATTGACGATATTGCTTCAATAGCAGCCTGACGACCTTCATACTCTATAAACCCATATCCTCTATGTCTATTAGGTGTACTTCCTTGGGCAAGTTTACATGTTCTTATAGGACCAAATGCTTCAAAGACACTTTTAATATCATCTTCAGTTAAATCTGGATGTATAGATGCTACATAAATACGATTATATTGTTTAGCTTCTTCTTGAATTTCATCAATAACTGACTGAGCTTGTGGCATGTTACTTGGTCGACCAACCTGAATAAAAATTAAATTTTTATTTTTTAAAGTACTAAATAATTATGAATTATATTTCAGAACAAATGTACTTACTACTTTAATATTTCGACCACCGAGCATAACTCCATTCATTTGTTCTAGGGCAAGCTGAGCAGCTTCAGGAATTTCATATTCAACAAAAGCAAAACCTTTATGTTTTTGTGTAATTGGATCCCATGACATATTTATAGATTTTATACACCCAAATGGTGAGAAAGCTTGTTTTATTGAATCTTCTTTTAGTTCAAAACTTATACTACCAACGTAAACTCTATAATTAAAATAATTAAGAATACAATAAATAATGCAGTGGTCCTACCTATTATCAATTTTACTGTTATAAAACATTAATTTATATTTTAAAAAATAATTGTAATATTTTAAGTTCAATTATAATTATACATCTAGGAGTAGATACGCACTTCAATTAAAGAAATAGAACTCCAAACTTAGAATATTATATATTTTGTTAAAAATAATGAAGGAAAGTTAATTTAGCACCCCAAAATTTTATTTCAAATGTGCTTATAGTTATAATAAACTATTAAATAAATAATTTTATTTTTAATAAGAAATAATACTGAACTTTGCAATTAATCTATAATAAATGTTTTCAGAATGTTAGCATTTTTGAGAAAATTGTATGAAAATGCCAAAAAGGATACGCCAATGAGAAATCTATCCTAATCCTTTTCCATTTGACTTCGCTAGTATCCACCTCCATACCCCCTTATAATCTTCTACCCATCAAATTTTACAAATAAATATTAATTAATACTAATAGAAGTAGAACAGTGATGTCTTCAGAACACTCATTTTATTTGAAATTTTTTAAAAATAGTGTATTTTTGTAAATAAAAAACCCAGCACAGGGGGGTTGCGGCACAATGGTAACGTAGCATAGTTGGATCAAGTATAATGATATCTGACAGTGATTAAAATCACTATCATAAAAAACGCTTTGATGCAAAGCTTAAGATAGAGTTCAATTTAAAAAAAATGGTGGATTATTCCAAAAGCTACATGATCTGCTATTTCCTTATTAATATCCTGATTAAGATAAAATATGTCGAATGAAAAAGGGATATAAATATTATTTCTCATAAAAAAATTGTGTTGATCCATACACTTTTCAATAAGTTTTAGCATTATAAAGTTAAAAATATAAAAAATAAAATCTAGAATTTTCACACAAAAATAACATTCTGTAGCCATTTTCACGGTGAAGACAAAATAAAGTCCGAAATTTTTTTTTTCCATAATAAAATACATTACATTAGCTTTAATTTAAGATACATATAAAAGTGTCAGATTTTCCGGAACACTTTCAAAAGTTAAGTTGAAAAAGTTGTACTTTCTATACGCATTTTTCAGATTTGAACTCCCCGTATATAAGGAAATATTCTGATTTAAAAAAAAAGTATATCGAATGAAAGATGTATATAAATACTACTTCTCATGAAAAAATTGTATTGATACATACATTTTTTAAAAAGTTATAGCATTTTAAAGTAAAAAATGTAAAATATAATATCGAGAATTTTATATATAAGATATATATAAGAGTTTTAAACTTTCCGGAACACTTTGAAAAGTTTAGTTAAAAAGTCAATTTTTTGTGAAAAAGTTGTCATTTTAAATCCCCCCTGTGGGTAGGTAAAGGGTCAAATTTATAAAAAAAATATACCAAATGATAGGTAGACATCAAGTATCTATAAAAAAAAAATTAAATTGATTTGTTCATTTTTGAAAAAGTTATGGCAATTTTAAGTAAAAAAAATTGAAAAAATTTCGAAAATTAGCGATTTTTAAATTTGTATTTTTTTTTTGAGATTTCCCCCATTTACGGGAAAAGAGGGAAATTTTTTCAATTTTTGTGTGTAATGTCTTCGACTAGATACAATTTGTAATCTTTTAACATATCGTTGAAAGAAATCGGTTCGGTGAGATCTGAGAAAAAATGATAACAGAAAAAAAAACACATCATAGTAAAATCAATACCTTCTCAGCTTCGCATCAAAGCTAAAAACAATTTGTTGGTAATATAATACATATAATACAAATGAAATATTCTAGTTGTATGAATTTTTGTCCTAATCATATAAGTTTTAAGTGACTGACAATGTCCAAAATAATTATATAAACACTTGAACACCATAATTAACAGAAACAGTCAGATCTTATCAGCTAATAATAGATCATGGATTGGGAAACATATTATCTGTTTGATAATAGTCTCAACCAATATCTTATTTTAGAATCCATCATTCTGTTTCTTTTTAAGGTAATAAAAATTTAGCAAGATATTTTAATTTTACCTGCACATTAGTATTAAAGCTTGATGTCGATGAAATGATTTTGCTTGTTGTTGCTGATGGGCAAGAGTCTGTTTCATGAGTACCATCTTAATACTTTGTTCCATGGCATATTTTTTTGCTTTAGCTACAGCTTCAGTTTGTTCACTATTTAACTTAATTAATGGTGCAGCTAGTGCACCTAATATTCCAAGTCTTGAACCAGGTCCTATAATATTAAAATAATTTGAGAAAAATTTTCAAGTAGACAATTTTTATTATTTTCATAATATCTTGAGGTGCTTTTTACATTAATTTTCACATTTTTATTTTAATTAAAGCGATTTGAGTAGTTAACTAACACAATCTTATGCTTTATATACTAAAATTATTAAAATTAAATATCTATAGTAACTAATAATTATTTTTTTAATATATATATAGAAGTGTAATATAGATATAATTAATCATTGTTTTATAAAAAACATAAAAAAATATTTGCTTGAAGTGCTTGAGGATATATCCTCAAGCACTTCAAGCAACAAGACATCCATGAAAGTTTTAACACATTCATAAAAAAATGTTACATCTTTAAAAAAATTTAAACCATCAATAATTATAATTGAAACAGTTACTGTTTAAAGTTTGTACAATTGTTACATTATTTAAAATTTATCATGTGAATTTTTCTTTCAAAAGCTTACAATAAGTTGATAACAATAAACACAGCTAAAAAATTGAATTTCAGGAGCCTCTGGTAAAAATAAAATGTGGTCTAATAACACAATTTTTTTAACATAACTAAAATAGATACTCTAAAAAAACTTATCAATGAGTAAAATTTAGTCTTCCATTATTAAAATTTAAGAATTCCAATTGTTAGGATAGCCTTGTAAAAAAATATTATTCTTATTGCTATTTTTGTTATTGGGGTACAGATAATGATAAAGTAAAATACGGAAAGTTCAAAAATCACTATATCTAGATTATAAACAAATTTTTTAATGATTTTACTAACTTTTAGAATCATTTCAAATACTCTCAACAAGGCTTTTATAGGATGTTATTGACAATCCCTGTTAACAACAATAATCTGCATATTCATGCAGATTTTCTTGTATGTAAAGAAATTATTAGCTCACATATTTATACTTTCAAACTATTACTTTTACAATTATAGTCATATTATTTATGTCAACTTAATAGAATATTGATACATTTTAAAGAATATCTAGCAGGTTATTTGTATTAATAAAAATGAGTTTTTCTTTTTTGAGAACAATCAATTTATTTATTTTTCTAAGCTAATGAACCACCATTGTCATCTAGAACGCTCTCGGATTTGTAGATAATTTTTTTTCCTCATTATTAAAAAAAATCAGTGATATAACTAGAAAAGCTCTACCTAAAGAAATTGGATAAGAGTTGTAAAACATTTATATATTTTCCAAAATAATATTTAAGGAAATTTTGATTTTTTGACTTATAATTTGTCTTAAAATATTCAAAAATAATTACCTGAAATAAGTGTTCCAACTTGATTGAAATCATAAGGTGCAGTAGTAAACGCTGAAACTCCATTGACTGAAAGTAAATAATTCAATATTAATAAATTATATCATATTGTCAAATGTTCAAGGTTTAACAACAATAAAAAAAACAATATTTCATAAAAATGGGTAAATTATCTGTAATTAAATAAAAAAAATTAATAATATATATCATTAGAGCTAATGTAACAGATTGAAAATATAATAGCTTTTTTTTTTTTTTTTTACTCAAATTGAATACAACAAAAATTTACACTTAATTCTCGATTTATTTAACTTACATTTAAAAATATAATTTAGACTGTTACATAAACTAATTAAATTATTTAATAAAACTTTGTATTCCATTAAAAACAAAGTTTTTGAATTAAAATATAATACCTATACATAAATAATATCAGAAGAAAAAAATCTTCTTGGTTATATATATGAAATTTAATTACACCATATAAATGAGCAAACATTGTTTTTCCATTGGAGAGACAACCATGATGGGTAGTAGGCCTGACTTGCTCAGGTGCTGTACTTGCTAGTAGAGGGATATTGGTCTGGAGACAACACAGAAGAACACGACAAAAACAAAAACAAACCAAAATAAAATACAAAGTATTTAAGTGTTTTATATCTCCTAATTTAGTGGTTTATACTTACAACTCTTTCTAACAACCACAGGCCTATACAATGGACCAACATTTTGATAGTTACCTCCAAAACTGAAATCAATTGATCCAAAAAAAAGTTTTCTTTGAATATATTTATAGAAAGTTTACCTACAATTACTATAAATAAGAGAAGTTTAAAACTAAATACATTGAATGAATTAGTTCCTAAAAATCGAAATTTTTGAAATAATTTTTACACAGGGCATATTTAATTGATTTTTCTACACTATGTAGAGTAAATAGTATGAAATTTAAAGTTAAAAATAAATAATTATATTATGTATGAAATTTATAAAATAAGTGTACTTCCTTGTTTCAATACATGTTTTGTACTATATAAACACAGTACATATATTTAAATAAACATATCCAAGCACGTAGCCAAAAACATCTTATTTGGGAGGTAACAACTATTAGTCTATGTATTGGTTTCCAATAAATATTTTTAGGAGAATTCTCCTTCATTCTTCAGATATTTTTTTCAAAAAGTTTCAAAGAGTTTTTGAATTTAAACTTAAAAGTTTTAAATTTTAAAAATATATCTTCATTGATCTTATGAATTAGATATTTTTCAACATTATCAATGCCTACATTTATGTTTTAATAAAAACAATTAAATTTAAATTTGAATGTGGGTCTTACCCAACCAGACTTCTCTTTAGCTACGTATCTGAATTTATTATGAAATTAGTTGCAGTATTTTAAAATAGAAAATGACATGTCAATAATAATTTTTGAACCAATACTTTGAAAAATATTAACATTTTTATATCCAAGCAAGAGAGGTGCCCATGAAATGTCTAATGATAAAAATAGTCATATCCATGTCACATCTCTAGCCTAAATTTTAAAATGTTATTAACTTCAAGAATATTGAGACAAAAGTTATTATTGAACAGTGATTTTCTTAATTAGATAATTTTCTATTTTATAAGCTAGCTAAATACAAAAGTTACCACTAAAACAATAAAGTTAACACCCTTATGAGGTATAAGGAATGAACACAATAAATACTTCATAATTGATAAATCAAGATAAATATGTAACATGATACGACCAAAAAAATATCTACAAAATTATTTCTATTTTATAAATAACTTAGTAGGTTTCGATATACAAATCACTTATATAAATTTTTTATACTGAAAATTGTAGTTGTTTTCATTTAAATTTTTTATAATTTTAAAATACTATTTTTAACTTAAATAAAATGTAGTTTTTTTATTTATTATGACAGCCTATACATTATTTATCATGGTTTATTGCCAATGTATATTTTAATCTGATTTTTATGATAGCAAAGAAAAATAATGACTTCTGTTAAAATAGTTAAATAACAATATAAATTTGGCATAAAATCACTTAACTTTGAAAAGTTGTAACAGACAAACGGTTTATTTATAATATGATAGAAAAAAAAAAATTACAAACAATTTTGTTCTTAAAATTGCTTTTTTCCAATTAACCGTTTGTCTACCCTACATTTGAATGTAGGTAGAATTGAATTGATTAAAAACTTTAGCTGTAGTGATAAATTACATAAAATTAACATATTGAATGTTGGATACACTATAACCAACCTTTTACATTTGATATGAACTTAATTTATCACTAACAGAGAAACACAAGGTTTACGTGATTTGTTTTTGATACTAGTTCATGTTGAATCATGGTTTACAGCAACTTTGGCAGTTGCATCACCATGATATAAATTCTATTAAAAAGTTGTATAGATTAATAACCAAAGAAATATTCAGAGTTGTGCTTTATACAATAAATTTATTTAGATTTATAATTAATAATTTATTAATTGGCCATAAAATAATAAATCTATCTAGTATAATTATAGTATTTGGCATAAAAAGTTGACTTTTAATTTTTTTTTTTAAAGTATAAAAGTTTTCCAAAGAATAAAATAGAAATAAACAAAATCAGTTGTAACATATTTTTAAGACTTTTACATGTTTTTTACTGTAAGTAGTGTTTTTGTGGGTTATTTATTGAGAAAAATAAAATTAAAGCTATTTTTTTTTCAATTTCTTGTAAATTTTCTTTTACTTGAGTTTTACTTTCATAATTCTAAGTTAAGCAAAAAAAAGGTTGTAAGACATAGATCAGTTATTTCTATTAAACTTTCTTCTTCAACTTAACTTATTAGTCTAGGGGCACAGGTTAATCAAAACGGATCAGTCCCAAATTTTCCAAAGGTCATTTCTTTGAGCATTGAAAAAAAATTAAGGCATAGCATAAAAAAAAAAAAGACATAAAAGAAAATCTACACACAGACTTATGTATGTATAATATTCCGAACATTAATTTGAATAATAATAATAAACAAACTGTTCATAATTTTTTACTTATTTTTAATGTAATTAGTTAAATTATTTAATGTCTTATTAGACATTTCAGACATTTTTAATATAAAATTATTAATATTTAATAGATTACTGCTACTAAGTCTACATTATTAATTTACTAGTTCACAAGTGCACATATTAAATTATTATTTTTACATAGTTATAAAATCTATAAGTATTTAAAAAGGATACATTTAAGTATTATTCTTATTTTTGAATGAGTTTAAAAAGGTATATCAAGATAGTAATTTAGTACGTTGAGTAAGTATAAATTTTAAGTAATTATGTAGGCTTAACATAGTAATAGATATTTTAAGAATCTCTATTGAATTATGAACTGAACCCATAATAATCTACTATACATTTTTTATAACATTTATTTTGTTTATTTATAAGTTTCTACAACTAATTTTTATTAAACCTACCATATATTCTATAATAAATATGACAAATTTAAAAAATGCTTTTAAAAACTATATAATTTTATCCTAAAATGATCAGGTTATTTTAATAACAATTTAAATAATTTAAAAACAATATTAAGTATTAGTATTAGTAAAACTATAGTTAACTATTTAACTAGTTATTGATCACTTGACTTTGTCACCTTAAGATACTGAACACTTTAATTTTATTGCATACTTTTTATAACTAACTGAACTTCTATATCTAAACTCTTAAAATTTTACATAATAATTAAAAAAACAGCACAGTGGGGTCGTGGTATAGTTGGGTCCAGTATAGATGATATCTGACAGTGATTAAAATCACTATCATAAAAAACGCTTCGATGCAAATCTGTAGATAGTGTTTAATTAAAAAAAAAAAAATTTGTTAAAATAGCATATTTTTGAATATGGTAGCCATTTGCACATAGAAGATAGGTCGTCGGGACAAATTTTTTTTTTCATTTTATAGTACATAAAATAAGCTTTAATTTGATATATGTTTAAAGGACACAGTATTTCCGGAACATTTTCAAAAATTAAGTTGAAAAAGTTGTATTTTGTAAAAATTTTTACTATTTTAAATCCCCCCAGTGAGCAGAATAAGTGTTAGATTTTCAAAAAAAATTATATCAAATGAAAGAGAAATATCTAAGGTTTCAATACAAAAAAATATTATTTTTGTTTGTTCATTTTTGAAAAANTATATCAAATGAAAGGGAAATATCTAAGGTTTCAATACAAAAAAATATTATTTTTATTTGTTCATTTTTGAAAAAGTTATGGCAGTTTTAAGTACAAAAAACATCCCGATAAAAGGTGATTTTTATCGCAAACATTACATTTTTTTTTAATTTTCGACAGCCATTTGCTCATAGAAGATAAGATGTCGGGACATATTTTTTTTTTTCATTTGATAGTATATAACATAACCTTTGATTTGATGTATGTTTAAAGGACGCAGTATTTCCGGAACATTTTCAAAAGTTCAGTTGAAAAAGATCTATGTTTTTTTCAATATTTCAAGTTTTGGACGCCCCCTATATAAGGGGAAATTGTCCAATTTTAATAAAAAGTATGTCAAATGAAAGATGTACTTATAATGTATTTAGAAAAAAAAAATTTGTGCTGATATATACATTTTTCAAAAAGTTATAGCATTTTTAAGTTGAAAATTTAAAATCGAAAATCGAAAATTTTAACACAAAAATAGTGTTTTTTTAACTACGGCAGCCGTTTAAATGTAGAAGAAAAGGAGTAGAGACAAATTTTTTTTTTCATTTTATAGTACATAAAAAAAGCTTTAATTTGATATATGTTTGAAGGACGCAGTATTTCCGGAACATTTTCAAAAAATAAGTTGAATTTTTGTAAAAAAGTTGCTATTTTAAATCCCCCCAATTAGAAGGTTAAGTGATAGATTTTCAAAAAAATGACATCAAATGAAAGATAAATATCTAAGGCTTTAGTATAAAAAAAAATTATGTTGATTTGTTGATTTTTCAAAAAGTTATGGAAGGTTTAAAAAAAAAAAGTGAAAAAATTTCGAAAATTAGCGATTTTTAAATTTGTAATTTTTTTGGATATTTCCCCCATTTGCGGGGAACGAGAGAATTTTTTTCAATTTTTGAGGGTAATGTCTTCGACTAGATACGATTTGTGATCTTTTGACGTATCATTGAAAGAAATCGGTTCGGTGAGAGCTGAGAAAAAGTGGTAACAGACAAAAAAAAAAAAAAAAAAACACATCATAGTAAAATTAATACCTTCTTCGCTTCGCATCGAAGCTAAAATTATTATTATTAGTTTTATTACAAATTTTGCTTTAATAATTTGTAATACTAAATTGTTTTAAAACAATTAATTAAGATTAAACATAAAATTATTTAAAAAAACTTTTTTGCTATAAACACATTTAATTAAAAATTTTTTTTATAAATATGTTCTATTTTAGTTAAATTGCTAAAAAAATTAAATAAATAATTGCGTAAAAATTAATATTTCAATATAATTTAAATACCTTCAAGCTTTGTTATTTTTGATAAGGATTCACTTTCTGTACCATTAGTCATGATTGTAGCAGGTATAGCGGATTGACAATTGGAATCAGCAGTTGACAATATAGTAGTAACAGATTGTTGTGACTGTAAGATAAAAATTTTTTTAATAAGAATTTATTATTTGAAAATTTGAAGCAGTAGGACCAGAGGAAGTGCCAGTAGTAGTATGGAAAATATTAGATGGTGTTGACATAAGGTAGTTGAAAGATCTTTTAAATAAAATCTTATTAGAAGGGAAAATCCCAAATGATTGTAGAAATAGTATTGTGATACCAATATTTACAGGTAAAGGAGACATACAGGAGTGTGGAAATTTTATAAGCATAAAGCTTATGTGTCATAGTATAAATATTTGGAAAAAGGCAATAGATAAGAGAATAAGAAATGAGACATTGGTATCTCAAAACCTGTATAATTTTATGACTGGTAAGTCAACCATGGAGACATTATTTTGTGCAAGGCAACTAATAGTAAAGTTTAGGGAAAAGAAGAAAAATTTGTGTATGGTATTTATAGATTTGGAGAAAGCGTATGATAGAGTACCGAGAGAGGTTTTAAAGTGGGCATTAATGAGAAAAGGAGTTCCGTAAAGGTACATTAATATAATAGAAGATATGTATTATGGTACTTGTACCATGGTAAAAAGCATAGGAGGAGTAACAGAAGGTGTCAGGGTAAAAGTAGGAGTGCACCAAGGTTCTGCTTTAAGCTTTTACTTATTTTCTATAGTGATAAATGAAATTACTAGTGAAATATAAGAAGAGGTGCCGTATTGCATGGTGTTTGCTGACGATATAGTGTTAATATAAGAAAATTAATCAAAGGCTAGAGGTGTGAAAATCAAAGAAATATTTGGGATTAAGGCGAGGGAAAAAGAAGAAGAATTTCAATTAGAGATTCATTTGTGTTTTATCATAAATAAATCCCATCCTTCAAGATTATGTTATGAGGCATAAAGCATTATTTTCTGAATTAAAATTTTCCTTCGATTTCTTTTGAGACTTTTCAAATACAATTTGAGTTTTCCCATATATTTAACATGTAAAAACTACAGATCTCTCTACAAATATCAATCACAATATCATTTTTTAAGATACAAAATTTATATTAAACTTATTTTAAAGTTAATAAAATTTTCATGACTTCAATTTGAAAAATTGTTTAATTGAATTCAGTGTAACGAATACTTTCACTGAAAAAAGCAGTGAAAGTGAATAAACACGAAACGACAAAATAAAAAGTGTTATGTTTTCCAAATGTATCGTCTACTTTATTAGATTTTCATAAAATTATTTAAAATTTTTAATTGAAAAAATGTTTAATAAGATGAATGATTTTACAGATTACATCTACTAAAGTAAAAAATGTGAACTGAGTCATTTGTATTGTACGATAGTGGAAATAATGATTTTGAATATATAATAATTTTGCAGAAAAAGAAATTAGATTACTTGCATAAAGCAGTACCAAAATTTATGATGGAATTTTTAGAATTTTATTCAGACAGTTAATGCAACTGTACACAATTTATGGTATTAACATTAGTATATATTTTGGCAGTTTGTAGAATTGAACATACTTACAATATAATCTATCATGAATTAAAAATTGCCGAGTTGCATTTAAAGGTAACTTAAATCCACAATATGCAGCAAGTGATTTTGACTACGCTAATATTAATGTATTGAGAAACTCTTTTAATGAAACCAAAGTAGTAAGATGTTTGTTTTATTTTGGACAATCAATATAGTGACAAATTATCCATCGAGAACTAAGAAAGCAATACTTCAATCAACTACAATAAACCAAGCATAAGTATTAATTTATTAGAATTGATGGAATTGTCTTTCATAAAACTACAAGATTTAATTGAAACATTCGATATTTTAATGGAAAACTAGTACTATCAACTAGTAGATTGATGAGTTTGCCAATTATATTAAAGTTATATATATTGGAGGAAAGTGGGCTCATAGTACCTATACCATTTTAATTTCAGAAAATATAAAATGTGTATAATGTAAGTCATTGCTTCAGTGGCGTAATTGAGGTCTATTATAAGAGAACATATAAATAAGTGTACCTCTTATATATTCCACTTCATATAATCCAAATTATTGTTATATTCAATATTAGAGTTTACACGTTTTTTTATTTGAACTGTTTTATTTAAAAATGACTGGTTGATAACAAATTATGACTCATTGTATTGAAAGCTATAATTATTTTAAATTATAGGGTGGAGGTGAGGTGCAGGTTATGTTAATTTTTTTTTAATCATAACACTTTTTCTATAATATTTCAAAATATTAATAATATCCGAAGTACTATTACAAAAATTATTATCAACCAGTTATTTTTTTAATCAGATTGTTTTTTATTTGGTAAGAAAATTAAATATGTATGGTGTCATTAAAAAAAATAAAGTTCCCACCCTTAAGGTATAAATTAAAAAAACAATTAATAGTTGACGTATCAAAAAATAAATGAAACTAAAAAATACCAAAAAATAATTTTCTCAACATAATTATTTTAAGAGAAATTAAGTTGCTAATATAAAAAGAATTACTGTGTATAACAGAATATTATAAAAACAATTAGATTTAAAGCATTTTATAAAATTTCTATTTATTAATAAGGTAAGTGCAGGTAATAAATCTTAGCTTGTATTAGGCTTTGACTTATAATGTTTAGCTAGGCCAAATATAAGCTAAGCCTTAATAGGTAGAAAGTAAAATTTCATTAATTTTTCAAAAAATATTTTCTTTTCAGTTTTATAAAAATGTGTTTTTTTAATACAATTCAGTATGCCAATTCATCATGAATTCATAGAAATGATAATATTACTGTTAATAATGTAAATTGCACATTTATCATTTAAATTCATAAAAAATATGAATTTTATCTGTAAAAACAAATAACATTCATTATGTTGATCAAATATGAATGATTTACCATGTTTCCCTCAGTGACACATCATTTTATCAACTTATACAAAAGTGTATCTGAATCATAACTATAGGTGTACAGTAACCTAATGGTAAGTTTGTCTTTATGACGCTACAAGTCACAGGTTATAATCTCTTTTTTCACATGATTTCTAGTAAACTTTTTATGTCTATTCGTGTTGATGTCTTTATTTATTATTTTAACAATTTATTAATGTGCATTATAAGAAATAAAATATGCATTATCACTAGAATAACATAATATATAAATAATGCAAATTATGAAATTAATAAATTAAGTTTATTTAATACTTAAGTAAGTGATATATAAATGAGATGTATACCAAAAAGTTTTATTTTAAGAACAATTTAACGCAACTCAAATTGCATCATATAGAGAATTTTATTCAATTATTTTTTTTTTATTTTCCATAGATTGGTGAACTTTGAATGTCACCTAAATAATAAAAAATACAAACTTACACAACTTAAACCTCCATTCATCATGTTATTTTTCAAGAAAAAAACACTATTAGTTTTTAAAATAATTTTAATAATCTTATCTGGATGTCCTATTAAAATAATTATACAAAGAAACAGAAAAATACTAGAATCACTTTACAAAATAAAACCGCACTCGTAAACAAACAAAAATTCCACTTAGACAGCAACTAAATAGTTTCTTGAAAATGAGGCCTGACAATCGCTAGATGAGATAATTCCCTATTATGTTAATCGTAATCTTAAATTTTCTACAAAGTTAATGGTTGTGGTTAACTATACTGTTTAGAACATGGTAATCTATAAAATAAAAGATTAACAAAGATTGAATATTAAGACCACGGTAAAAGTCAGTTTTACAGTGTTGCCAAAAAAAAAAACACAGATTAAATGAAATCATGTAACGAAGTCTGCTATAAAATTTTGAATAGCGAATCGTAATAAGTAAAATCTTATTACAGTGCCGCCATTTTTAGAATGCAATATTATATTATTGTGCTATTATTTTACGACATTAAGTTCGATGCGAAGTTGAAAAGGTATTAATTTTATGATTTTTTTTTAGCTTCGATGCGAAGCTGAGAAGATATTGGTTTTACTAAGATGTGTTTTTTTTTTTTTTTT